GTGATGCCACCACTGCACTTTATCCAGGGCATCTAAGAAAGACTCTGTCTTTTAAAAAGACATAGACTAATAAATACAATTATGTCAAAATTTCAATATAATAACCACAAAATCAAGAGAATCATATTTGAGCTAGACTGACAGAAACCAAAAAGATCTTCACAAATAATAGGATCAATATATTGGACTACATAAAAAAATAATGTACTTATATAAATAAAAAACATTTAAAAAAAACTGAAAAGCAAATAATACATTCCACAAATATGACTGGAAAATACAATATACTAAGCATTTAAAAAAATAATAATAATAGCAGAAAGGCTTCCACAGAAATAGGGTCATCAGATACAAAAAAGATAATTCACAGAATTATATATCAATGGCCAATAAACACAAACCAGTCTAGAAATCAAAGAGACAAATATTAAAACAGCAACATGTCAAAACCAACTTACAAATATATCTAAAATGCATAATATTCGTCACTAAAAACTATAACAAGTATCACAGCATTATAAAAACTGATAGTCTGAAAAGTATTTGACAATATGTACTAAGACTTTAAACATGTATGCACTGCTTTGACAGTTATGGCAATCACAGGACTCTTCCACAAGCACCTGCTTTGAAAGACAATTATCTGTCTGTTACTTCTAATATCTTTCTGTCCCCCTCATGTTCAAGTGAACAAGCAAAGAAACACATTTACAGAGCATTTTAAAAATGGAAATAAGCTGAAATCCCAACAACTAGGGAAAGGTTCAGCAATTTGGGGTACAACCAGAGAGATTCCCATGTTAGTACAATGAGTCCATATATTTAAATTCAGTTGCTTTTGCCAACATGTTACATTGTGTCTAGATAGAAAGCACATGGATGTTTTGTTTCTCTTTATATATGCCTGTGTGTTTGTTTTAAATGTGAAATAGAAACAAATCACATAAGTCAAAGTATTGATGGGTTCCTTGAAGGAAAGTTATATTTACAGCCTTCTGAACCATGCCATCTTAGACTGTCATTGAGCTTTTAAGACCAGAGAACTGGAAACCTCTCTTCCCAGCTTTTCATTTATGACTAGGAAGCTATGGCCAGAGAGAATTTGCCTGAGGACCCAGAGCGAGGTAAGAGCAAATCGAGGTAACAAGGTCATCCTACCTAGTACTAACCTAGTCCATGATCCTTCCTTTACCTGA